TGCGCCCCGCCGGACAAACAGATCCACCTCGAGCGACCCGTACAACTGGGAGATTACTGTGAATATCTGCCTGTCGAGCATCCACTTCGTCGCGGGGCCAGGATCCGGCGAGAGCATCTGCTCGCAGACGTTCTCCAGCCCGGGAGATAAACAGGGAGTACCTGACAATCGTGCTGGTCGCTCCAGAGGAGAAAGTCCCACGCTTCGAGAGGCGCTGGGGACACCGTGCCTCCCTGCTTCAGGATGCACGACATGGCGTCTGGTTGTCTAACTGAAGACGGACTACCTGGCCACGGACATGCTCTCTGAAGGCGCTCGAATACCAACGCGCACAGCTCTCAGCTCCAACACGTTGATGTGAAGGTGAGCGGACCCGGACCAGAGTCCGAAGCCGACGAACTACCAGAACGCCCCCAGCCCGTGAGGGACGCATCTGTCTGAACTGTGAGAGCTGGCGTCGGGATTTTCAAGGGAACCCCTGGTGAGATTCCCGACATTTGTCCACCACTGAAGGTGAGGTGTCAACCACTCGGGGACTGTGAGACTGCGGCTCCAGATCCTCCGTGTGAGTCCACAGCCGAGCCAAAGCTTGCTGTATGGGGCGCATCCTCAACCGCGCCCGCCACACTACAGAGATCATTCGCCGCCATATGGCCCAGTAGACGGAGCCAAGTCCGTGCTGGTGCCTGGGGCTGGGAGAGGAATGAAGATACCATCTCCCGAACTCTGGTGACCCGGTCGGGCGACAAGGAAACGAGATCCTTGTTCGTTTGGAATCGCTAGCCCAAGAAAACCAAGTCCTGGGTGGGTACCAGGTGGGATTTCTTGAGGTTGATGATCCACCCCAGTCGAGTTAGAATGTCTATCACTGTGTGAGTAGCATCTTGACTCGCTGGCTGTGTTAGTGCTCCGAGCAACCAGTCGTCTAGGTAAGGGTAACAACGCCTTCCTTGCGAAAGCGAGCTAGGGTAGCTGGGACTAACATGAGCTTGGTGAACACCCTTGGGGCAGTCGATATGCGAAGGGGAGCACCCTGAATTGGTAATACATCCCGCCGTGAAGAGAACCGGAGGTACTGCTTGAACGAGGGATGTATGGGTACATGCAGATACGCGCATCCTTTAGGTCGATTGGCGTGAGCCAATCGCCGGGCTGAACAGATGAGATCACCGCGCCAGTGTCTCCATCTTGAAGGATGGTACCGAGCATGCGATTCAACCCCTTGAGGTTGAGAATCGGGCCGGAACCGCCGTCTTTCTTCGGGACGAGGGAAATGCGTGGAGTAAAATCCCGCCTGTTCCTCTCCCGGTGGAAATCGCCGATTGCCCGGACTTGTCCAGCAGAGCCTGAACCGTCGGCGCAATATGTCCGCCTGGCTTGGCATGCGGCACGGAGTGCGGCGTATGCAGTGAAGTCGAGGCGGACTCGCTTCCACAGTGGGAGATGGCCTATGCTGACCGTGGCCAGCACCCAAAGCGTTGTTGGTAGCCTTCTCCCATTCCGGCAGGAATAGAGAAAGCGCCTCCCACTGGGATATGGGGTAGGAAGCGCGCGTGGACCCTAGTAGCGGAGCTGACTGGGTGTGACACACGGCTTGGCGGCAGCCTGTTGGGTTAACGGGAGGTCGGGCAGACCTCAGCGCCAGCCAAAAGGCTGGGAGCTAGTCGAGGACTGCTCCTTGCCCCTACCCTTGGCGGACCTACTCCTCCGCCTACCTACCAAGCGGCCGAAGCCAGCCCGGCAGACTCGGTGTAGGCTGCACCCGGCGGAGGAAGGTGGCGCGGGGCCTGAGGCGCGAGACACCGCTGGTGCTCCAACAAGGCCTTAGAATCCTTGAAGGAGGTAGCTGCAGCGGCAGCCTCCCGTATGACCTGCTGTGCCCGGGAAAGAGGGTCGCTCCCAGGCGGAAAGGGAGAGCCAGCAAGGTCTGCTGTGTTGCTGCCGAGTACCTAGGCGTCGACAGCCACAGCCTGCGCATCCCCATGACTGCGCACATCACCGTCGGCGCGGCAGCAGACCGCCAAAGAGTGTAGCGAGGTGAGCCTGAACTTCCGACAGCTGGACGGAGTAGTACGACAAGCGGGGACCGCGTCGCCAGCATGCCCCTCCGCCTCCAGGGCCGACCTCTGTATCGAGGAGAGGTAGGCCTCATGGACCACCACCGCACCTGCTGCATCAGCGTTCGGTAGACCTCCTCGTAGGTCGATGCAGCGTCGATGCGCAGAAGCGCCAGGGCAAAAGGTGGAGTGAGGGCCCTTGCCGAGCAGCCGGAGCTGCTCCGGAGGAAGCCGAGCCTCCCCAGAGGCGGCGGAAGTGAAAACACACTTCGTCAGCGATGCGGTGCGACGAACAGGGAATCCTCCCCAAGCTGGTAAAGCGCGCCGCGCGAGTTCAGGTAAGTCAAACCTGACTCGGGTACCAGACAAGAGGGATCGACCCGTCCGCGACCAGCGATGGCAGAATGCGGGCTGCGTCTGTGAGGGTTGCCTAGGGGCAAAGCGCCTCACCAGGCAAGCGGAACTCAGTCGAGTCCACGCAACCAGCAGGCACCAGCGGCCTGGGGTAGGCCCTCGGCAATTCTCTGCGGACCTCCCGCAAGGCGAAGCAAAGCGGAAGCTGCCGTCATGCTCCTCGACCTCCCGAGCTCCATTGCCTCGGCGTCCGAGCCCGAGTCAGAGGCTGGGTCTCCTCCCGTGAAGGACCCTAACCCGACCCGGTGGACTGCCTGGCGCTGGGCACCACAGGAAGGGAGGAACAGACCGACTGCTCCGTCGTCAGCGCCAGCCCGGCGTGCGTGGACCCGGTCCCGAGGCGGCTGGAGGCAGGCCAGGCAGAACTGGTGCCTCGCTCTCATGGGCGGGTGTGCGCGGGACGGAATACCAGGAATACTCAGCGGCCCAAGCGCCAAGCTCGAGGGGACTGGGAGCACCTCCCTCTCGAGCAGCAGCCGGCGCCCGGATCGAAGCCAGAGGCAGCGGATCGACAGGCGCCTCAAGGCTGAGGATCTAGCCGAGGCCGGCGATCCCACCCGGACTCTCCGCCCCGGCCCGAGTGGGCGAGGAACTCCTGGCGGAGACCTCCAACCGACTCGAGCGAAGGACTTCATTGAGTCCATCTGCTGCTGAAACATCGACTCCATTAGAGACATGTCAAAACCACTTTCGAAGAAGTGGTAGGGGAAGGGCCGCGGGATTTTTTCCTTTTGGGCGCCCGTTTAGATTTTGGCGGGGAACCTGCGTCAGGTCCCCTCCGCCTCCGCGCATCTCGCGGTAAAACAGGGTGTCGGCCGCCGCCTCTTCTGTGCCGGGGAAAAGGCCAGACAAATTGAACATGTATCAGCCACATGGCCCGTCTTCTCCAGACAGGCCACGCGATTGGGAGTGACTGTCAGCCCGGGAATACTTCCCCACAGACCGAACAACAGGTAAAAGCCTGGAAACAAACCGTAAACATGTTAGTTAACTTGTGGCCAGCAGCAGAGAAACACGTAGAAAACATTGAAAAATCACGTGAAGGTTACCACGGAAAGTAATAGTTGGTTTTAAAGCGCAATAATACGACGCAGCACGCAGCTAAACTTCCCGCCATGGCAGAGCAAACTTCGTAAACCACGGGGGAAAGTTTGCGTGTATTTTGATAGTACTTATACAAAGTCACAATTATGAAACAACCACTGTAAGGCTTTACTGTTATTGTTTTAGACAAATAAAACCAAACATACAGGTGGTGTCTCAGACATCTTAAAAATACAAGCGCCCGTGCGGCTCATGAAAGGTAATCACAACGAACGTCTGTTCAGGGCCGTGACAGCAGAAGGAATGATGATACGGGTCTAGGAGCCTACCCAGTTGGTGCGCATGCGCTAAGGGAGGTAACTCCGTGAGGTAGAGTCCGTATAATAAATAAAAGAGTTTATTTATTGTACAATCTTTTTATTCAAAAAACATTGATACAACTGTCACAGGACATTTTACAGCCGGAAAATGCATAATATGTACCCCAAGGACGATCTCTCTGAAAAAGAATACGTGAATGCGACCACGGGAAGAAATAGTTGGTTAAAACGCAATATTACAACCACGTGGCACGCTAAACTTCCTGCCATTGAATAGCAACACGTGCGTAAACCACGGGAAAGTTAGCGTAAAATAATTAATACAAAGTCACAATTATGAGACAACCGACCGCAAAGCTTTACTGTTCCTTTCCAGGACAAAATAAAGACCATACATACAGGTGGTGGCGTCCCAGACATTATTCTCTTAAACTTCGAAAGCGTGAAGGAGTTCAGCTCTGCACGACACATCCATACATGGCAGTGACAGCAGAAGGAATGATGATACAGGCCTAGGTGCTTACCCAGTTGGTGCGCATGCGCAACGGGAGGTAACTCCACGAGGTGGGGGCCGTATAATAAATAAAAAGAGTTTATTTATTGTACAATATTTTTATTAAAAAAGATTGATAAAACTGTCACAGGACATTTTCAGCGCGGAAAATGCATAATATGTACCCCAAGGACGATCTCTATGAAAAAGAATGAAGCATAGTGCACTGCCCTTAAAACAGCGGTGAAATCAAATTACTCTTACGAGGGAGGGGCGGTGGGGTAGCCTAGTGGTTAAAGCATTCGCTCTTCATGTGAAAGATCTTGGTTTGATTCCCCACATGGGTACAATGTGTGAAGCCCATTGGTGTTGTCCCCCACTGTGATGTTGGTGGAATATTGCTAAAAGCAGTGTAAAACTAAACTCACTCACTTACAAGAGAGATGGTAGCTATGGAGGTGGTCTATGGGGATCAGGGTATACATTCAAACCGAATAAATACACAATACCCTTATCAAGGATGGAAACAATGATGCAGTCTGACAGAGGAGGAAACAATTACTATCTGGTTGAAATTATTTAACAATAACAAAAGTTGTAAATGCAACAGTCACCTCCTATTTCAACTATGAGAAACTTCCATTTTAACTGTGTAGCTATATACTATCGTACCTATAGTCTGTATCTGTAGTTTCCTCATGTCCTCATTGTCGACGGCAGTGAGGTAAACTTTGAAGTGATCCATCACCTCAGGGAAGTATGGCACCAGACCCTCCTTGGCTGCCAGAGCTGCAGGAACAAAACACAAGTGGAGATTGAGGGTTTGATCTACAGAGCACCATATGGGTCTTAGGGTGATGTACAGGGCATGGTTTGGGGTGTGGGGGTGATCTACAAGCCAGGGTGTGGGGCTGGGGGTGCTATACTGGGCAATCTGTGGGGGGTAGAGGTGACCTGGGAGCCGGGGGTGATCTACAAGGCACCTGCGGTGGGGGCTTGGGGTGCTATACTGGGCAATCCGTGGGGGTAGAGGTGATCTGGGGGGCTGGGGGTGATCTACAAGGCACGGTGTGGGGGCTGGGGATGCTATACTGGGCAATCTGTGGGGGTTGAGGTGATCTGGGGGCGGGGGTGATCTACAGGACATGGTGTGGGGGCTGGGGGTGCTATACTGGGCAATCTGTGGGGGTAGAGGTGATCTGGGGGCTGGGGTGATCTACAAGGCACGGTGTGAGGGCTTAAGGGTGCTATACTGGGCAATCTGTGGGGGTAGAGGTGATCTCTGGGGGCAGGGGTGATCTACAGGACATGGTATAAGGGCTGGGGTGATCTACAAGGCACGGTGTGGGGGCTGGGGGTGCTACACTGGGCAATCTGTAGGGGGTAGAGGTGATCTGGGGGCTGGGGTGATCTACAGGACATTGTATGGGGGCTGGGGGGTGATCTACAAAGGCACAGTGTGGGGGCTGGGGGTCTATACTGGGCAATCTGTGGGGGTAGAGGTGATCTGGGGGCTGAGGGGTGATGTACAGAGCATGGTGTGGGCCTGGGGGTAATCTGTAGGACACCATATCGGGCTGGGGTAATCTGTTGGGCACCATATGGGGCTGGAGTTGATGTACAGAGCATGGTGTGGGGGGCTGGGGTTGATATACAGAGCATGGTGTAGGGGTTGGGGGTAATCTGTAGGGCTGGGGTGTTATACTTGGCAATGTATGGGGGCAGGCATGATCTTCAGGGCATGGTTTGGGGGCTGAGGGTGATCTACAGGGCATGGCGTGGGGGCTGGAGGTATTATACTGGGCAATCTGTGGGGGTAGGAGTGGTCAACAGGGCATGGTTTCGGGGCTGGGGGTGATCTTCAGGGCTGGGGTGATCTACAGGGCATGGGGTGGGGATTACCGAGATCAATCAGTCACTGCGGGTTCGGGAAATCTGTAGAAAATATTGTGGGGGCAGGAGGTTTCACAGGAAGAGATGCTGAAGGGGATGCAGGAAGAAGACGAAGGACACAGTGTGGGGCTGGACATAGGGCACTGGGCTGGGGCAGGGGCTACTCCAGAGGGTCAGAAAGACTCACCTGCAGCTCCTAGTGCACTGATGGCCAGCTCCTTGGCTCTCATCGATGGGGAACTCTTCAACACCGTCAACAGGTGCTCCATCAGGTTCGGCAAGAAAGGAAGAATTTCTTTTTCTGAAAATCACAAAGGTTACAATTGCTTCCAGGACACTGATGTCATAAATACAGACCACTCAGACCATGACCTTTAGGGGTGAGTGAACATTGCTTTTTGATTATCGATATTTACATAGATAACAAAGAACAAGAAACATGTATGAAACCCAACCATTAACTTGTAGTCCCAGCAATTCAGAAGTTTACATCTGGCTCCAAGCATAATTTGGAGTTCAGTGCTACGTGGACTCCTTCCTGCTGCCTGCCAGATTGAACAGAATTTTACTCGACTCAGGCTTCAGACAATGACTGACTGAGTTTGGTTTTACGCCAATTTTAGCAATATTCCAGCAACATCACCGCGGGGGACCCCAGAAATGGGCTTCACACATTGTACCCATGTGGGGATTCGAACCCGGGCCTTCGGCGTGACAAGCTTTAACCATTAGGCTACCCAACCGCCCCTCAGACAATGACTAAAGTTGCTGACTACTACTATTCACACACCTAGATTTTCAATAAACATTTCCAGGGCGTAGTAGCTCTTGGTGAGACCCTTTGGGTTCTTGTCGGCCTCTTGTGTAGCACGACCAAGATACTGGAACAACAGCGGCAGTAACTCCGAGGCAAACTTGCTGATGTTTGGCTATGATGGAGAAGGAATAAACATTTAAGTTTTAATTTTGGACAGATTTAAATCTTCATCAATGTCTTCATCATCAATATTAAAAGGGACTGTATGCCACTGTTCAGTTAAACATTCAATTTCTCATGTACTACTGCACATTAGATTGTGTTGAAAGAATCATACCGATTTTAATACTAACTGTTTGTTGCACTCAGAATTATTCCAGGTATACGACAGTGCTGTCTTTACATGGGCAAGTGAGTGATATCATGAGCTTCAGTCGACCCAATGGAGATACAATGATCCAATCAAGTCAACAAGCCTGATCACCTGATCCTGTTAATCTCCTCTTAAAACATACATGGATCAATTACTAACATTTATGAGTGAAAACTCTGAACAAATTCCCCATTAGCAAATATGAGGTGAGGTGAGGTGAGGTGAGGTGAAATTGGGTTTAACGTCATGCTTGAGAATATTTCGCTCATATGACGACATGCATGCGTGTGTATGTGTATGTGTATGCGCGGCTGCTTGTACTAGCCCAGTCTGAAGCTGGTTTTATAGTGCTAGCTTTTATAGTGCTAGCTCACTGAGATACCATGCCGCAGTGAAGCATGAATACCCCACTCAGACACATTATACTGACTCAGAGCCGACCAGTCCTTGATGTACCCATTAATGCCGAGCGCCAGGCAGGGACCAACAAGTACCATATTTTAACGTCTTTTGGTCTGACGCGGTCGGGGATCGTACCCGCGACCTTCCCCTCTCCGGGCGGACGCTCTAACCACTACACCACGGAGGCGGTCAGCAAATATTAAATATCAAAACAATTGAAATCCCAGTATGCACTGTCAAAACAACTATCTCTGCCATTCATTCACATCATTGTAGAAAAAGTGACCCAAACCAGCCAATCTGCTAGTGCATTTGTTGTTTAATGTCACACTTAGCAATATTCCAGCTAAATAATATCTATAAACAATCGAGTCTGGACCAGACAATCCAGTGACTGGCATCCCGGATATCAGTCTACACCACAGGGATACTATGACATACATCAACCAAGCCATTGAGTCTGGACCAGACAATCCAGTGACTGGCATCCCGGATATCAGTCTACACCACAGGGATACTATGACATACATCAACCAAGCCATTGAGTCTGGACCAGACATTGGAGTCTGGACCAGATACTATGAATCCAGTGACTGGCATCCCGGATATCAGTCTACACCACAGGGATACTATGACATACATCAACCAAGCCATTGAGTCTGACCACCCAATCTCATTAGTCGCCTCTTTCAACAAACATGGGTTGCTGAAGACTAATTCTAACCCTGATCTACATGGGTTCCAGCCAATCTGTGTTGCTATGGTTACCTGTAGATGCTCGAGGAGAACTGTCCCAGGGCAAACAGGGCCGAGTTTCTAACAATGGGATCGGGATCACTCAGGCCTTTACATACACACTGCAGGATTGCGTTCAGGTGTCTGGAGGTGGTAATAATAATAAACATTTTCAGCTCCTGGGGAGAATAAAACCATGGAGAATCAACTCAACACATTCAGCAACATTCAAGGGACCTTTGATTAGCAAACAATTCTTCTCTTAAACAAGAGAGAGTTGTTAAAAATAAGTGAGATTATCGACATGTTTGTGAGTACCAGTAAGTGAGGGAGTGAGTATGGTTTTACGCCGCTTTTAGCAATATTCCAGCAATATCATGGGCAGGGGACACCAATGTGAAATGGGCTTCACACATTGTACCCATGTGCCTTTGCTATTTTTGATTCAGTAACCAAGAGACATTTACATTGATAAAACGCGTGCAAATCTCTGCACCAAGGTGAGTGATTGGATATAGCTTTATGCTGCTTCAACAATATTCCAGCAATATCCACGCGACAAGAGACATGGGCTTCTTACAATTGTTTGTATGTTAGAATCAAAGCAAGGCATTTGTGATGACCCCACTTCCCCTCACCAGAGTGAGTGAGTGAATATGGCTTTTATGCTGCATCAACAATATTCCAGCAATATCAACGGCAGGGGACGATAGACATGTACTTCACACATTGTAACCATATGTGGAATCAAACCCTGGCCCCAGCATGATCATGAAACACTTTTTAACAACTAAGCTACCTTATATGCTATTATTCCCTGAAGTGAATGAGTCACTGAGGGTCTATTTTGATGCTATGAAATATGCCATGAAAACACTCCCCGGAGACAAGAAAGGCTTCACACTTCATCATTATAGAGCTAAGTTTTCAGCTGCAGTAGTGGGCTGATGTTGATAAGTCAATATGGTAGCTTACTTGTTCATGATGTAGTCGGCACACCCCTCGGCATATCGCCATGGCGATGTCATCTAGCTTCGGAAGCCTGGCTTGTCACTGGCCAGACCACTCTCAACTAGAGGCATCTTAAAGAAGACATATCTTATAGTTACCATAGCAACAGGGCGCATGGTTTCTCATTACATCTGAAGCTCGACAATGTCTACATAACATAAACAAATTTGTTATTAAAATATTTCATTGCATTCACAGTATGGCAGGGTTGATGAAATCAAAATGACACATACAATCTGTAAGGATTTAATAAACTAAAATATCTTGGACTTGTTTAATAACAAATTTATCATCTTACCACTTCTGGGACAAGCTTCTCTGGCGGTAGATGAAGAGCCAGCGTGTCAATAACCTGTACAGAAAATACACTGATAAACACTGAGATGTAGTTACGTACACAGTCTAAGTAAACTTAGGCTCAGTATTATTCATTACACTTCTATACTAGGTCTAACAAACCCCTGTAGAAAGTCGCGATCAGCTAACCTTTTAGGCGTCTATGAGCCATCAATCAAACAATGATAGCAGTGTAACGAATAATACTGAGCCCAAATTTACTTAGACTGGATGTCTTTTGAGGGAAAGGTCAAACTACAGTGAACACTGAATTTAGCGTTCGGGACTCTCAATATACAAGAAAATAAAAATGTGAGCTATTCGTCGTCTGACACCGTAGTCATGGGTAAACCAATCATCAAGCTAAAGAAATTGCGACTGTCACCGAAGCTGCTTATTATGCAGCACCTGATTGGCTGAAGTAAACCCTACGACCTACACCGTACATTAATATAACCCGAGAAATAGATATAGGTCAAGTAACTGCTTTGCATATTTGTCATGAAAGAGAGAACAGTGAGTGGCGAGGTGAGTTTATTTTGCCGCTTTTACATAATATTCCAGCAATATAACTGGCATGGTACCCAGAAATGGGCTTCACATTGTGACAGAACCGGATCTTCAGCATGACAGGCGGGACACTAGAACCCGATCTTCAGCATGACGAAAGTTTGGTTTAACGCGGAAGAGTTTAACCACTAGGCTACCCTCGTTAATCCGGACCCGTTTCTCAGAAAATGGTGAAATCCGGACTTCTTGGTTTAACAACGAATCGGAAGAGTTTATCAACATGATTACGAGTGACATCCGGTCTTGTTTATATATTTACCAAAGGTAATATCCTATAAGCGCTTTTGATTTGTGATATGTAAATGAATTGCGTCACGACTTGTGACTTGCAGCATTGTCGTAAAAAGCATCCGCTTTTAGTGTGTGAGTCTGGCAAAGAGACAATCCACAAAACAGTTGATCATCCGCCTTTGTGGGTGTCAAAGTGTAAAAGTAGTCATTTATACTACCAAAAGGCGCGTGAGAATGCATCCCGCGAGACCCACCGCGCGGGTGTGAGTCGATATTTTAGTCATTTTACTGCGTGAGGAAATGCTCGATTTTAATAGGGGAATCCGGCAATCTGGCAGCTGGATGCAACACTGTAGGTAGGTCATAGCCACACAGGATCATGTGGGAGGGCGTCTACCACTTTAGGAAATCACAAGTGCTAGTATGATGCTAGGAACATAAACTGGCTAAACCAGGACTCAAACCAATATTCAAAAGGTTTCTGATATACCCAAGGGACACAACTCTGCACAACAAAAATATGGTACCTTAGACAACTGGGCTTCCCAGGAGCCCTTCATGATATTGCACAGAATCGAAAACCTGCTTTTACAGACTTACAATGATTTTACGTCACGAGACCTGATAACAACAGCTCATGATTGATAGGGTAAAAGATCACAATTATTGCAAATTTCGCATAAAAAATATTGAATCAAAGAGAACAACTAGTTAACATATCTCTGAGAAATTGAACAAACAGATCAAGCCGCCAGCAAACAAGGTATAAACATTAAAAGAAAAATAACAGACTGGAAAAAACAACAAGAAAATAACTCTGTCCATTTTCACCTGTGAAGCCACCTTGCTTGGGCTGTCCACACCTGAACTCTGTCCACACAAAACACAGTAGCACAGACCTTGTTGTAATTATGTCTCACAGGATTTACTGACACACCAAAATAACTCCAAAGAAAGCACCACTCAGTAAAGAATTGTTTTTGAAGATTATTGTGAAAGATGAACTTAAAACAAAGATGAAATACGCTTCTTAGTGCTTATCATAAAAGAACAAGATTTTGACACAATAAAAAGGATATTGAAAAGATGAAAATGGTGGGCCACTGTTTGATTCTTGGTTGACTGGATGGGTCAAGTGTGCTGGCCAGCTTTTCACTGAGGCTCAAAGTCTGATGGCTAAAGTCATAACTCCCATATTTAAACATAGACTTTGTTGCGAAGCATAAAGCTCACCGCAAGCTACAAACAACGTCACAATACCCGGCGTAATTTGTAAAATTTTGCTCAAACGCTTGGCAAAACAAAGTCATGTGATGTCAGCCTAGCAATAGGGTACATAGGATAGATGACTGCATAAGCTTCTCTCCAGTCATCTACCATCTCTACATGTAATGCCTCTGTATATACTCAAAGGATGTTGAGAGTCTTCACTATCTTTTTAGTGAAAGTAGTCCCACTGTGAATAAAGCATGAACTTTGAGGTATTAAACACTTAGTAATACCAGCTTATTCTTGTCTATCAGTGGTACATCTTCTTCAGCATGTAATGAACTATAGATCAACTCAAATTGAGTTCCCATTATATGCCAATTTATCATGGAGATCCCCCAAAATGTTAATGATTAGCTAATGACAAGGATCAAGCCTGTCTGTCATCATGTCTAGTTTGAGTACAATGTCTGATGTTATGTTCATAAATGTTTGTGATCCCTCTAATCTGGACAGAGCTGTACCTGTGGTGCATACTGTCCAGGTGAGTGTGACTCCACGCTCTTCATCCTTCTCTACAGTATCGTCATCCTCCTCCATAGTAGTGCGTCATGACAGTGAAGACATCACTCTGGAGGATGGTTGGCACTTCAACTTCTGTTCATGATAGCCTGGGGAAACAAGTGTAGGTGAGCGAGTGAGTGAGTGAAAAGAGTGAGTGAGTGAGTGAGTGAATGAGTGACAAAAATATTGTGTACTATTACACATCAGCAAATTAGCAACTACCAGCTCTCAAGAGAAGTCAGTCTGACAGACACTGTAGTGAGTGAGGTGATATGGAGGGTACAGTCAGTCAAACATGGATGTTGTACTTAGTTATTCTTCAATATTGTATTATATTTACATGATGATGACATATATTTATGACCAGTCATGCTGCATGTACCTTTTTCTCTTGAGTCTTGTGAGTGAATTAATAGAAGGACATGTACCCTTGACCCACTACAGCATCTCCAAGTTCACCCATTTGCTGCTAACTGAAAAAATACAAGTAGAATGAAGCCAGTGAATGGAATCACAGCTAATACTGAGGATTCAAGGTAGTTTCAGGGGTTCGAGCCCCCCACCTCCCCTCTCAAATGACTAAAGACCCACATTGGGGGCAATTCTGGTTCCGATCATGAATGTCTAGTAACAGTGTATTCGATGT